TAGTAGAGGTTGGAGGCCGTCGCTAGTAGAGGTTGGAGGCCATCGCTAGCATCGCTAGTGTAGGTTGGAGGCCAACGCTAGTAGAGGTTGGAGGCCATCGTAGAGGTTGGAGGCCATCGCTAGTAGAGGTTGGAGGCCATCGCTAGTGGAGGTTGGAGGCCATCGCTATTTGTGTTTCCTTTCAGCTTCCGTTTCAAGGCCTGCCTCCAAGGAGTCCAATTGCCTTCGCAGGAAGCTGACGGAGAAGTGCATGGGCACCTCCAATGCATCGCCCGCTTCAAGATTGATATTGGCTCCCTCAGCATCTCGCTTTCAGAATTCTGAATCTCTCTTCTTACTTTCAGCCGACTTATAGTGCGCAAAAAGCATGTGCACACAGTCATCTGAGCTCTTCGCCTGTTCAATGTCTTCTCGGCTGAGATGCGAACACTGAAGGGCAGCCTCACAAAGAATGGCAGCGGACTCTGCACCATCTGAGTGATACTCTTTGAGAATTGCACAACAATGGCGAACAGTACGACATGTTATTGACATCATTTTCGCTATTTACGCAAACTTCAAGCCAGGCTGAAAACGGAATGCGAAGGCCTCATAGGTGGCCTTTACTACTGCAGGCCCTCCTCTGTCATATGCCTCCAGGCCCAGGCCACCTTGGTGCACTGATGCACAGCGTCTTCATGCAATCTGTCACATGCAAGAAACAAATCCAAACAAAAACATATATTAATCAAAGAAATCTACATGAACATACATGAAATAACCAGAGCTGGCTGCCTCCTCAACATAAAACAACCATTGGGTTCGTTTCCACCTCATCTTTGAGCTTCTTTGTGACCAGCCACGGTAAGGCAGCAAGTTGGGGGCCATGGGTAGGACCATTACGCGACCAGCAACCCCACTTTTGCCCTCCGCTTCTCTTCCAAGTTCGGAGGCTGTGAGCTTTTCTGTCATCTCCTGGAAACACAGATCCCTAACTGAACCAGGAGTTAGAACTTAGATGACTTAGATGAATGATGATGAATGAGAATCCAGTTTGATAAAATCATCTCCTGATCCCAGAAGCTGAAGATGTCCCCGTGGTGCACCTCTATGCACCCGAAGGGGCTGATGTCCACTCTCCGGATTTGCCCTGAAACCGGCACGGCTACAAAATAGAGAGAAATATATAGATAGAAAATGATAGAAATAGAAAGAGAAAAAAGATAGAAAGAAGAACTATTACAGCATAGCGCAGCCTACCCGACATGAGCTCAACACAATCAGCGCCAGTCTTCCGTCCTTTGTAGTTGGTGCTCGTGGGCTGGGCAAGTGAACGCAGCATAGTTTCAGTGGGTTGCTTAGTGATCTCTGGGTCCCCGAAGACGGTACCTCACATGAGGCGCAAATGAGGCGCATTCCTTCAGCATCCGATTTTACACCTAAAAGTACAGTTTTCAAAAACATATCAATTCATGCGATGCAAATCGAATTCGCCCAGGTGACGACTCTCCTCGCGAATGCTCCACAGTTGGGGCTCCACTTCGTTCGAGCGATATGGCCGGGGCGGGTCCAATTGCCGCACGTAGTCGACCTTCGACATTTCGACATTCTCGGATCTTCGTTCAAAACACTTTCGTACTCGTTCTTCTTGCTACTTGCTGCCCAGCTGCGTGTTGTTGCATGGCCCTCTGCCGAATCATGTTGAAACGGTTTTTGCCTAAGAAGCACGATGAACAAGATTGAACACGTGAAAACAACTGGCCTGTATGGAGTATGGATAAATATGGATAATATGCAGCATGGATTGTGTGCCACATTGGAATTGCACAAGGCCCCAAATGGATCAATCGTGCTTTGGAGGTCCTGCAAAAATCAAGTGAACCGCGTAGAGAAGGCACAAAAAGCAAACTTGATGGACACTTTGCTCACCCTTGCGACTCTTGCGGGATAGAAAAACGCAAAAAGTACCACCCTGAAAAACTCCAAGACACCTCCACTCTTCAAGCGTGTCTGGATGTGACACCATCTTTCGAGCTTGCTTGCTCTCCGCCACATGACAATCTTAAAGCATGGTGGTTGGGGAGTTGCGCGAAAACTTGACGTTCAAAGTGCAACTTCTTCCATGAAGTGCCTCGCTAGTAGTAACAAGTGCCTCGCTAGTAGTAACAAGAAAGCTATTAGAATTAATCAAAATAAATTTAACAATTGCAAGGTGGGCCAACGGGCTGAAGTTGGTCTCTTCCACTGGGATTGAATTCCCGTTCCTTGGCCTACTGGTGGGCCGGTTTGAACCCAAGTGCTGCAAACGAACCAAATGTTTAAACAACGAGTGAAGCGATCAAAATCTGTTGCCGCCCGACCCTTGACTGTGCGTACTCATGTGACCTCATGTGAAGCACGTCTAAATCCATCCCACCAATTGAGTCCGTTGGGGACCGACTTGTGTTTCCAACCTGCCCGGCACCTGCCCGCATCACAGGCGACTGGAAGTCAGGAGCGACTGACATGGAAAAACGTCAGATCTGACCAGGGCTTTACCTGTCTAGTGCTATAAGATCTATAAGGCCTATAGACAGCTGAGTTGCCTATGCTCTGGGTTTTGCAGGGTCAGAATTTGTGGGAAGGGTGGCTTCGCGAGGCTTCATGCAACACTAGAGGCTTCGCGAATTGATGTCGCAACCTTTCATACACTCTAAGTTAGCTGCGAATTCTCTTCGCCTTTGCGAAAGCCGAAAGCCCACGCCAGCTTCGCAAGCCTCTGACATTTGGTGAGTTACAGGATCATTCAATAAAACATAAAACACACTACTCACCTGTCTTATACGGCTGCAATTTCCGACATCGGTCATGTCCCCAAAAACAAACGAAAAGCGCAGACTCCGCGAAACGAAGCCAAAACTCTCTGCCTATTTGAGGCAAATTCTATGAAACTGGAACACCTATCACCTTTCTGAGACGGCAGCAGCACAGCAAAGCAACTCAAAGGAGCAGCAAGTCTGCATTCTCTTTTGCATTTGCAGCCCCGTGCTTGAAATGCCCAACGAACACCAACAAGTTATACTGGCTGATACCTGCTGCGAAATCTACACTTGAAGGTTCGCATCACGCAGCCCTGCCAAGGCATTTTGCAGCCCAAGTACATGCAAAAAGCACTTGACACACCAACCAAAGTTTTCACGGCTCATGTCTCTGAAATCAACTCAGCAAGTCCAAGCTTCATGATTCACAACGCCTGCCACAAAATCCACAAACAACATTTCTCCAAACCCATCCAAATCCCAGCACCTACTGTCCACGAAAATGCGACGAGCAGCAAACGCGAACCCTTCGCACGCACCCTGCCCCATATTTAGCGCAAGAACGCCTTAATTGCGAGCAACTTGTTTGGGGAACCTATCTACATCCAAGAGACCAAAGCATGTGACAGGGGAAAATGCAGAAAGCAGCATGAGATTTCCGGAATTTCTGTGACCCTGCATTCAATCCGGCAATTACTATGTGCAACAATTTTTTCCTCAGGGCAAAACATCCAAGTTTCTCGAATGCGACGCGTGCCTGAACGGCATGAACAATATGAACATGATGCACACAAACACGGAACCCGGGTGATTCCATCAGGGCGCGAAAGGGAAGAATCGTCACTTAGGAGGGTCCCCTGATCATCAGGAAAGTCATCTCTCTCCTTCTCCACATGCTTTGTGAGCAATGTCTCATGCAGACGGTCAGGTCACAATCGCCATGGTCAGATTTCAAGTCCGGGATTCTCATGTTTCTGGCATCGAAAACCGTCGTCCATCGCTGACGTCGAAATCCTTGCCAGGCGACACGCTTCTTCGATTTTTCGATCTGTCGGACCTGGGCGGTCTGGGCGTCTGGGCGTGGCGTCTGCTTCCATATCGACTCTATGTAAGTGGGTTCCAACTAGGAACAAGTGCATCGCTTCTAGTAACAAGTGCCTTACTAGTAGTAACAAGAAGCTACTAGGAACAAGTGCATCGCTTCTACTTCCTGCTTTCTGACCTTTCACGCTGTCTCTTGGTCAAGCCTCACGAAGGACCCCATTCTCCTGCTGCATCTGCACCAACACGCCTGAAGCGTTTTCTGCTCAAGTATTGCTATATGAGCTAAATATTCCCTATAGCTAATGTTATATGAAGTGTTGCGCGCGTTCCGATATTTTTGCATTTCGCTACTGACCGCCACGTGGATCCCAACTTCACACGAACATTCCCTCGCAACCTCACTGTGAACTCTAATTCTCCTGCCTTGTGTGTGCTGCTCAATTTGTTGTCGCCAGCTGTCCATCAAAGAGCTGGAAGGCACCAAAACCAAAACATCGCCGCCATTATGCTGTGCTGCAAGAAAAAGGCTACAGCCTTGAAGCCAAGCAACAAACATTCAAAAGCACCATCACCGTCTGCAAATCACTATATAATTCTGCTGAGCTACTGATCGCCACCAATGTTTTTCCAGCACCCAGAGATGAAGCATCCAAAGATCCAGTTCTGGGCGCGCACGGCGACAAAAGCGGAACAAAGCCGGGCAACGACCTTGCCAAGCTCTTCTTTGGCAAGAGCTAATGTAAAAAGTTGGAGAGGTGAAAACTGTAGCGATGCGGCAAACACGGTATCACAACTGCACACCCCATCCTTGCCCTGCCGAGGTTCGCTCCATGGTGGCGGCTTTGCAGCAACCGCTGTACTGCTTCAGTTTGATAGCTGAAGAGCGGTGTCTTCAAAGTGGCCACCTGGATCAGGACATCTGGAAGAAACGATGCATAGCAGTTCTGTCAGATGTAAAGATGGATTCTGTGCAGTTCTCCGGTCGTTTCCCCGTCTCCTGGGAGCCCTGGGAGATTTCGGGCACATGCTCCTCCATGTGCTCGTTGAATGCCAAAGTCTTCAAGGCCTGAGCGAGTTTTGGCGGAGCCTGAGGCGAGGTCGACAACTACAGTACAGGTAACTCGTAACGGACTGACTCGGACTGGAAAGGCGAGGAAAAAAACTCAGAAAGAGAGGCAAAAAAGAAAACCTATTTAAAACATGTATAAGTAGGCCATTGCTTCTAGGTTGGAGGCCATGACGACTAGGTTGGAGGCCATCGCTATTAGGTTGGAGGCCATTGCTTCTAGATTGCCATGATATATTCAGAAACCAGTATGTAGATGTTCTTCTTTCAACAGGAAGAGGTACGCCGTGAGGGGGCAGGCTTGGTTCCCGGATTTTGTGGAAATGAAAGTGTAACAGGTAGAGTTGAAAGAAGGCTGCTGGGCACAGATGCTAGCAGGCCAAATGCTGCAACCAACTGCTACCACCTTGCATGCAAAAGGGCGAGCACGTTTTTACATGCTCCAGTTTTTAAGGGAATACCTACCTTTTGGAGCCAAGGGCTACCAACATCCAAGGAGCATTGGCCAAATGCTGGTGCAAGCACCCCAGGACCTGCCGCTCACTTAGAATGTTTCTCATCTTGCTCGAGTCCAGATTTCAAAGTGTCTTGTGGCAAGTGGCTTTGCTCTCTCGGCAAATTCGAAAGGCCAGTTCTGACCGCGTTGGCACCTGATTCCGAGCAGTTTAAAAATTTTCAACCTGTATCCAATTGTGGTAAGCCTGCAAGAAAATGTAAACCAATGGCCTACTACGCCCTACTTGGAAGCCACCACTAGTAGGTTGGAGGCCATTGCTAGTAGGTTGGAGGCCAGTGCTAATGGGTTGGAGGCCATCGCCAGTAGGTTGGAGGCCATTGCTAGGAGGTTGGAGGCCATTGCTAGTAGGTTGGAAGCCATTGCTAGTAGGTTGGAGGCCATTGCTAGTAGGTTGGAGGCCAC